TTTCCAAAGAATGATCTTAGAATATATCAGTTAGTTTTCTGACACTACACTTATTCTATCTCACAATGGCTTCTATTTCTGTGTCACCAGTTCCATACTCAGTGCCCTGCTGGTATCAATAAATATTTATACACTGAATAAAAATGAATGAATAATTGATTAAAAGAGATCAAGGAAAGAAAGAAAACGAGAGTGAAGTTTTTTTTTTTTTCAATTGAAGAGAAGCATTCTCCATGAGACAATTACAAATACTTTTCATGAAAGAAAGCAAAGTCATTTTCTAAGTGGCAGAGCCCTGAAAATATTTTCAGGGGATTTGTTGAAAGTGAAGTTATTACCACTCCTGTAACAATTGTCGCTAGATTGCTGTGCTTTGTCTGCCAGCTGGTGGGTGTTTCTCACACCATTACTTTGGCTAGAAGACTGTACCCACTACCCACCCCTATACACACACACACACACACACACAGAGAGAGAGAGAGAGAGAGAGAGAGAGAGCATTCTCACTACAGCTAACTGTAACTCTTACATTACATCATATCCCATATTTAAAAGCAGGGGCCATTTCAGACAATGTTGTACTGGCAAAATGACACCTATGTAGGCACTGGCTACCTTTAATGGTTGTCCTGAGAATCTAGTAACGATGGATACCAGCCAGTGAAGATAGGGGTTCTCCACTGGCCTCTGATCCCTGCGATTTGGTAGCCGAAGACAGCTTCTCTGAATGTGACCCTAGAAAACGCACACACAGAATTCTGCAGTCCATCCTTCTTTCTCCTTTTTCTTGTCTCCTCTTTGACACTCCTGAGATTGTGTTTTCCAAGAAATAGTCAGCTTCTACGAGTTTGTTTAATTCCTGATGCTACAAAACTTGGACTAAACAAGTAATTTTAAATAAATTTTCAAAAAAACACAAACAAAATGGATTGGAATATGTTTGCAAGAACAGTTGCTTATTTACCCTGGGCTATGTTGGATCCTGGGGGTAGCAAAAGTTGCACAGACCAGTCCTTGAGACTGAAGGAAGAGCGAGGAAGACTTGGAATGCAAACAGTCCAGCAACAGTCCAAGGAATAGTAGCTCACATTGTGTAGCCTCAACAGGGGATAATCAGAAACACATGGCTCTCCTGAGTCTAAACAGCGTCCCCAAATAGCTGTGTTTCCAATAGAGGAGCATGGACTGAGGAGATCTTAGCCACTGTGTCTGTTTATAATTTAATATATTTTCTGTGTTCTGCAATGCTAAGGCGTCAGCTTCTATGAGAACAGATAAATCTACAGAGCAAACTACCTCAGTGAAGACAATGTAACTATTTTACATATTAAGTCAGAATAGGTTTAAGACACAGCAGATTATTACATAATATCCAGTCAGCCAATGTTGAGAGAAAAATCCAGAAGAAATGACAGTGGAAGAGGGGATTCAAATTTGTCCAGAAAGAAGGAGAGTGCTTCCTTAAGGAAAGTTGGCAGATTAAATACTGTGATCTCACTGGCACTGGGAACAGCTTTAACTTTGAATCAAGTCCCAGTGGGGAAGGTATGGAAGGCAAAGTCACTGTCTTCAAATATATCCTACTATAGGATCCTCTGCCACCAGGTGGATGAAATATAAAAGGTCTCTTCTAAGAAGGAACTGCAGCCCAAAAGGTGATGAAACACTTGGTAATTACTTATCAATGACCAACTGCTGTGATTAAAGAAAAATTCTGCCATCTGCTATTCCCAGAGTTTATCCTGAACACATCTCTGTCTCACACAGAGTTGTGTTTTGTTTGTTTGTCTGTTTGTTTGTTTTAACACCCTCATTTAGAACCATAGTTAATTTTTTTTTTCATTTTAGGTTTACTTTTCCAGACTCAGTTGTATATACAGAATGAGTAATTCATTAAACATTGAAGCACACAGGTTGTTAATCACTTTCACTGGTCTTGGTGTGTTTCTGGTTCTGAGTATCTGATAGAAAATCACTTATTTTTCCACAGAGGTCTGTATAGACACATACATGCAAGAGTTTGCATGAATTTTCTGTTTAGAGATATTTTCTATAACCAACACTTTTTTTAATGTAGATAGTCAAGTCCAGTGGGTTTAAGCATCTCAGGGGGGTGGAGCCTTATCAGGCCACAGAGGAAGACAATGTAGACACTCCTGATGAGACCTGATAGACTAGGATCAGATGGAAGGGGAGGAGGACCTCCCCTATCAGTGGACTGGGGGAGGGGCATGGGTGGAGAAGGGAGAGAAGGAGGCATTGGGAGGAAAAGAAAGAGGGAGAAAAAAGTATTCATAGTAAAGATGAGTAAATTCAACTAAAATAAAAATGAGGGATTCAGATAAGTTGAATATTTTGGCCTATCAATAAAGGAAATCACAAATTTCAAAGTGTGCAGATGAAAACAAATCTACTCCTATAAGAAATCATATGTAAAAGTGACTTCCTGGTCCTCAGGAAAAAGCCATCTACACAGTGTCTCACTGGTCATTTCATTAATGACTTTAACAAGTGGTTTATTTTTAAAATGGTCTATCCAATGTTCATAATAGATTGACTTCTATCTCCATGTTAGATATCTGAAAGAATATTTAATCGTTACAGATGATAATTACTTGACTCCTTTTGGAAGATGCATTACGAGTAGAATTGATTTGTATCTGGTTTTGAATACAGCCCGCATGACACCTATTTTCTACTTTTGTTGTTATCGGTGGGTTGCATACAGTAGAATTGGGAGTACAGAGCCAGTGTTTGGAAATACAGTTTTTGCAGTCACTGAACTATAATTTTGAGTTTAGAATTTGGCTTGTGCTTTAAATATTTAAGCCTGTGAATCATTTGGAAGCCAAAATCATCATGTGTTTGGCATTCTTTTGGTTGAAGAAAATTTCTAGAGTGAATGTTTTTTTACACCAGCAGCCAATAAGTTTCAGATGTTTTCCAAGGAGCAGGAGTTCTAAAGCTGAAATGGAATTTTCTGTGATGGTCTACAAATAACAGTTAACATATGCTTAAGTTACAAACAAGGAAGGAATCAGAAAATGCTTAGTAGGGAAGGAAAGGAGGCTAAAAGTTAATTAATAAAACATTTTCCGTCTGAATTTCCTAGAAAACATTTAAGTGTTTAAATAAGTGTCTCATCTATTTTTAAAGAACATCACTATTACAAACTACTAAAAAAAAATAGCTTTAAAATTAAGGAAAAGGAACTTTAAAATTCCATTACATCTGTTATAAATTCAAAGTGCTCAAGAAAAATAATAAAAAAAGCAAAGTTATAATCATATGATTTAACCATGAGGTACATTCTTCAGTTATTTCACAGCATCTAAAGACTGACCCAGACCATGAGCCGAAGCTTCCTTTAAAGATGGCCCTGCTGCTGTCATCTGCTAGTATTTCCTCTGTTCATGAGTCAACACGGTCTTCATATTTTTGCCAACAAATGAATACTCTCCCGTGACAGTCTTCAAAGGCTCACCATGTAAATCTACTGTGATTTGGTTTGGTAGTGGCCTCAGAAATGCTTCGGCCGGTGTTGAGTTTGCTTTTATCTAAAGCCTGTACTGTGGCAGAACCAAGCAGACCGCTTTCTGTGGGATGCAGCAGGGCATTCTGCTGGCCATGTGGACCAACTGAGCATCTTTCAGCAACAGCTGACTTGTGTTGAATTTAACAGCAGCCCTGTCCACTTCCTACCTACCTAACCACCAACCTGGGTTATGAGCCCGAAATGAAATACACAGAAGTTTATAAAACAACATGGTGGTGGCCCCAGAGGTGTCAGCACTGACAACAGCAATCATGCTGCCACATGAGGCAAAATCCTGCTCCAAGTAATAAGCAGGCTCAGAAGCTCCCCCAAGCCTGCTTAGACAGAAGGCACCTCTTTCCGTTCCCAAAGGTGCCTGCCGTATACTACTTCAGGTGTCATCAAATCCATCATAACTTTTTAAATAACCAGTTTTCACATTTTTACTTTTTTTTTTTTTTCTTTTTTATACTCGACAGTGAAAGGTCTGCATTTGACCGGTAGGCACAAACAGAGTGCAATAGTAAAACAGAAGTTTTGTGTGTTTTCTGGATTTTTGGTGTTCCCCATACCTTGCAAGTAAAAATAGTGAAACTAACCCGCCCAGTGTGAATACAGAATGATCTCTTTCTCCCCAGCCATTTGTTTTTGCTTTTTTTTCTTTTCCCTAGATAGTGTCTAATGTAGCTCAGGCTGGACCCTGGTTTATAATGTAGCTAGCCTAGGCTGGCCTTGAATCCCTGGGCCCCCCTGTCTCAATCTCTCTTGTGCTGGGATTATAGGCCAGCTCCCACAACAATGCATACTTTTTTTTTTTTAATGCCTCGCTATTTTACACTAGCAGGCCCAGAACTCTTCATGTAGAGCAGGCAAGAGCAGATAGTGAGGTGATCTTCCCGCCTCTGCCTCCTGCCTGCTTAGATTCTAGGTCTGCACACAATACTAGACTAGTGTCCCCTAATCCCACGAACAATTAAACAGCAAGTCAGTTATTCGCAAGAAACCCACAGCACTATCCTTTTAAATTCTTCGGAAATGAGTACATCAGTTTAGAGACACATTCACGACTTCAGAACCAATTTAGCAGATCGTGGGTTGGAATTCTGGAGAAGTCCTTTCGCTTGGGAGTCAGCCCTCGTACTCTCAGATTTAAGGAAAGAGACAGGATATTCCAGATTGCTTTAAACCGACTTTCGTTTCTGATGCATGAACTCCTTGGTTTCTAACATTTTAGAAACGATTTCACCTCCCTGAGATGAAGATGGCATCTAAAAGCTAAAGGGAGGAACTCTGTAAGTAGGTTTGGGGAGTTTTGCAGCTTATGTAACACGTCTCCCAGTCGGCGGCAGGTCACTCTGGACTGTTTACACTCTGGCTCCCTTTCCAACCCCATGGAAGTTAATTTTAGTTTTGCAGAAAGGAGAGAGGGAGGCCCACAGACGCCCGGGCTCACACTCGGACTCACCTTCCTGATCTCCTGGGCGTTCGTGGAGAGGAGGAAGCACCGTTTGTCCCGCGGGTGTCCTTCCTCGCATCTGCCAGCCGGAGTTTGAGAGGGCGTGTGCAGGACGGGGGCCTCCGCCGCAAGCTTTTTAGTCCCTCGGAGTGTTAGGGTCTGGTAAAAGAGACAGATCGCCACCACCAAACCCACCAGGAAAGGTCGGGGGCAAAAGCGCCGGCGACAAAGGAACCCCGGTCGACAGACCATGACCTGTCCAGCTTCACTTGGCCCCCGGCCACGCTGTCAGCACGAAAAGCATACACATCTGCCTTCTTTCTGCACAACTCCAATCAAGTTCGCCCCATCTCCACTTGAGAACTTTCCGAAGGTTCATGCCAAAGGTTCAGAGGACCCAGCAGCGGTCCGCGGTGACGAACCGGCGCTCTTCCTTGGAGGACAGTTAGAAGTGACTGACCTGCTTTTTTTTTTTTTTTTTCTTTTTTTTTACTTTTATTTTTTTTCTTTTTTAAGTTATGTCAAATCAAATCTACTTGTAAGAAATCGGCGTCTCCGCTGCCAAGAGTCCCTTCCGGCAATGCCTAACTTCCACCACCTTCTTAAACTCGGGAGTGCAGCCTGTCCCGTCTTTGGGGCGAAGAGCAAGCACAGCGCAGCGGATCTGGAGTCGGAAGGCAGCGGCGAAGACGCAGCAGGCGAACCGCGCAGCGCCTGTTGCACAGCTGGGCGCCGGCCAGGTTGCCCTAGCGTTTTCCCATTTCCCTCCCGCTTGAAAGCCGCCCCGCTCTCCGCCTTTTATGCTTCCGATCTGCTTCCTTCCCTTCGGTTTTAAATTGCCACTTTGCTGTTAGCATCCACGGCTTTTAACATAAAAGGGGAACAGCAGTTTGGATGTATGTGGTTACTGTCAGGGTTTTGCTTGCGTTTGGTCGCATTCCGTTTCAAGTTCAAAGTTCTGTGTACTTACTCAGTTTTCATCCTTTTAGCCACACTGGGTTTTTTCCCCTGATTCCCAATGGATTGCTGATCAAAATCACTTGGAAGGAAACACCCAGGCGTAGGACTCCACCTCATCTCACTTGCACGCACTGACACACACGCGCAGACACGAGGAGACACGCGCGTGCCAGCTGCACACAGGGCCGGAGCCTGGGGACCCGGGCCATTGCTGCCACCCAGGCCGAGAGGGGCGGAGCTAGCCCAGGACTCCTCTGGCCTTGGGGGCAGTCCGAGCAGGGCTATCAGCTCTGCAACCAGCAAAGGGTAGGCTTGTGTGCATGTTTAGGGTCGCCCCTGGAACGTGGCTGCCTATCCACCCCCGCAGAATTAGAAACATACTTGATGTCTGATCCCTTATGCCACTGCCTTTCCCTCACACAGCACTAGAATAACAAACGGCCTCTAGTCAATAGATGCTAAAGGTCGAGGAGGAGACGAAGGCAGAGTCTGAGTTACTGAGAGGTTCATCCCTCCAGGGAATTGTGGTCACGCTTAAGAGGACAAGAGAGTCATTAGGACAGTCTGGACCACGGGAAAGTCCTCTATCCACTCCAGCACCGAGTCCTACCCCTCCTTTCTGAGGTTTTCCCAAGGCGAATAGCCTGGTGCCTGGCTCTTCAAATGAACTGACTGTGCTCTAACTTTTGCCAAGGAGAAAGGGGTACCCAGCAGGCCTTTTATTTCCATGCTGACCTTCTCACGGGCATTGTTGCTGGGGCAGATTGGCAAATTCCATCACTCTTGGCTCAGTGGGCTGATGAACCATCAAAGAGAACTTCCAGGTCCTTGTTTTGGCATCTCTGAGAAGAACTGTCTTAGGCTCGCAGTAGACCGTTTTCAAAGACCTACATAGTTTCTCTACTTTAGGTCTAACCAAACTTCTTACAGGGAGATGGACTTCCGTGGGGGCCACACCCCTAGAGTAAGCCAATTCCATAGGACTTGGCCATTAGTCCCAAATATTTTGTGAAAAAGAGCACCCCCTGGAGGCTCACAGCCAGAACAGATTCAGAAAAATGGACACCTCCTGCTAGTATGCAAGCCAGCTCGGGTTACACAAGAATGAAAGAAAGAAGAAAGGAGGGAGAGAGAGGGAGAAGAGAGGAGAAGAGAGGAAAGGAGAGGAGAAGAGAGGAGAAGAAGAGAGGAAAGGGAAGGGGAGGGGGAAGGAGGGAAGGGGAGGGGTGAGAGACAGAGACACACACAGAAAGAAGTTTGCACCTTAAAATTTGTCATTATAGAATAGTCATGAACTCATCTCAAGTCTATTTATGTTTCCTCTATAAAATGTTTTAATACTATTTGGTATATAAATTCAAAGTCTTCAATACCACAGTAAGTTAGGGAACAGCAGAAAATTCACCTGATTTTACCATGTAGACATTGAGAAAGCATTACCGTTGCATGCCATAGGTTTTTGATGGACATAATATGATTTGAAGGCTAATAGGAATCACTAGACCTCTCCACTGAAATGGTTTCTATGCTCCCGAGACCCAGAAGGTGGTAAAGCAGCTGTTTTTCAGTTGGTATGAGCAGTATAGATGTTAATATTAAAGCTAGAATTCTGAAAAATCAAAGTTTGAGGAAGGAAGAAGACTTCTCTGCAGCTAGACATCAGTACAGTTCTGAGTGAGCTTAGAGATGAGTAAATTGAATGCTAAATAGAATTGCCTTTGGGTTGGGAGAAGGGAAAGGCAACAGAACAGAAAATTTGTAGACAATATTGTAGCTTTTCTTTGGCTGAGAGGAATCTAGAAATGAGTAAGTTGAAGAACTCAATTCCCTATCTTAATCCCAGAGTCCAAAGGAGCAGAAGACAACCAATAAAGTAACATTGGAAAAATAGAAGAGGTTGGTTAGAACAAGAATGTGGAAAAGAAAGCAGCGCACACCAAATGGATCGAGACCCCTGGAAACTGCATCAGGCAATAAAGACCAACCCCCGTGAACTCAGACCATCACATTTCCCACCTCTTACCAGTTCTGAAACAGGTGCTTTGGAATACGAAGTCCAGGTTCATCGTTTGTGAACTAAGAGTACCTCCTTTGAAGTATTGTTGGCCAAGGAGAGATGGTGTATGGACAGCGCCTAAGCATTCTGAACAGTTGGCAGGTAGATGAGTGCTGACGTGTAGCTGCTATGTGTTAGACCTCTAGACTCAGTCCTAGCAGGGTGTAGGATGTGCTAAAGTGTTGGACCTGTGAGCATGTCATTTAAATAGTAACCACAGGGAACATAAAATAACCAGACACAAATTCTGGCATTCACTGTTCTCTTCCCACCATGCTTTGAGATCCAGGTGGGGAACGGATGTTGGTTTGAGATTACACATATTTGAGTATTTGAGTTCTTGAATTTAAATTTTTAGTGGCTACATAAATATGTAATCCTAGCCATGTCAGAAATAACAGGATCTCTCTCTCTCTCTCTCTCTCTCTCTCTCTCTCTCTCTCTCTTTTTACATCTGAATGATGTAAGTAAACCTCATTGTCTTCACTCACCCATCAGAGAACACTATGGTTGTTTCCATCCTTGGCTGTCGTAATTAAGGCAGTAAATAAGAGTGTGGATACCCTTTCAAACAAATTGCCTTGTATCTTTTGATGCTGTGCACAGCAATGGTATTGAGTGTCTATTCAATAGTTCTAGTGGTTAAAGTTTTGATGAATCTGGAAACCTTTCCCCCACTGGCTGTAGTAATTACATTCTCACCAATACTCCACCTTCTTACTGGGTTTGCTATTTTTGTCTTGTGCCACAACCATTCTAATGGAGTGACGTGACATCTTGTTAGGCTTTTATTTGTATTTCCCTGACATTAGAGAAGCTGAGCATGCTTCTATATATCAGCAAGTGATTTGACGTCTTCTTTTGAAAAATGTCTAAGTGCAACCAGTTTTTCAATGGAGTTGTTTTTCACTTTTTTGTTTTTTGTTTTGTTTTGTTTGTTTCTTTTTTCTTTTATTTTTTGCTTTTGCCTTTGGGTTCTTTCGCTTCCTTATATATTGGATATATTTGAATGAAAGGCTAAGAGGAGTTAGATTGGAGTCTGTGGGAGTCTGAACAGAAAACAATAGAGACAGAGAGTTTATTGGCTTAGCGATACGAGTGGGAGGGTACCTCTGCAGTACAATTGTGAACCTGGGGTTTTGGGCAGTATTTCAGATTCGATACTTTAATGCATCTAGTTCATAAAGCACCCTTTCCACTAAAAAAAATCACTCTTTAAAAGTAGATATTTAGCAGCATCGGGATAACAGAGTGGCAAACACACACTCTAATTCCAACATTGAACAAAATGGAACAACCTTCTACCACAAAACAAAACCTTCAGTGTTCTCTCCAACATATAAAACATGATCTCTCATTGCACATATAGCTACTCTGGGTTTTTGTGGACATATAGCTACTCTGGGTTTTTGGTATGGACCAGAGGTACTTGAGTTTGACTCAAATAATCACTGAAGGCTTGTTGTTTGTTTTATGGAGTTTGGATCAAACTCAGAGCCTTGTACATGTTAGGTAATCACACTAGCACTGAGATACCTCAATCCTTGTTTTTACTGTTGTTTGTTCTTTTCTGAGGCTGGGTCTACTATGTAGCCCAGGTTGGCCTCAAGCCTATATGTAGCTCACTATGCAGACCAGGGACTTGATAGGTAACCCAGGTTGGCCTCAAGCCTATAGTCCTATTTCAGCTTTCTAAGAGCTGAGGTCATGAAAAAATGCATTTTAAGGTATTACTTTTTGAAACTGGAGATAAAAATATGTGTAAGAAGATTCCAGTGCTGGACCAAGGACTTTAGGAAGGTATATACTTTTCTGAATCTCAGCTTTTTCATAAGCCAGGGGCATCGGGATCAGGGTAGCCTCAAAAGTCACTTGATGATCCAAATGTTTTGCTTCTGTGACACATTTCAATGTGAACATCTCCTGTGTTGCAGTCGTGTGGGCCTTGCTGGTCTACGTCAGGGGATAGCTTTTCTCTACAAGAAGGCCTTGATCATGGTAGTATAAGATCTGTCTAAAGCTGTTCATGGTGATGCTGCAAGCCAAATATTGGGAATGCTGTCAGCAGTGATGGGTCCTTTGAGAACCAGACTGCCTTCTCGGCTCTTATCATCTCTCACGCAATACTCATTCTGGAATTTTCCCAATAAACTCTAAGTTGGTAGCTTTAAATTGTGAGTCATCTATTAAATCTGTTCAAAGGTATCCTAGACACTACGGAAAACAGGACATGTGACAAATACTATAAATGACTAGAGTGCAACACTGATAAATCAGTCCAAGCAGGATGACTTACCAGCTTTGAAACCTCACCAGCCTAATGTATTAAAGCTCACAACTCACTCGTGTAACTTTCTATCATTTTCCTCTTTCCATAAGACATTTGATAACTTCAAAGACGCTCAGATGTCCATCAGGTTACTCCACATCTCACTAGCACAAGAGGAACAAG